AAAGATGGCACATTTATTGCTACATAAATGTTATATACATATTGTGTTTCTGTTACACTGACAGAAAAAAAATTTGAACTTCTTGCTGCTGGTTGAAAGTTATCAACAATACGTTGAATTTGACACAGGGTACAAATCTGCAATAGACCAACAATGAAAATTGTAGAACAAGATGATCAGCAATTCATCTTGGACAAGTAGCTCTTACAATACTCCATAGGTACTACACGGTATGCTAGGACCCTACTATGTTCTTAAAATGCTATTGTAAATTTTTGATATTAATGAACAGGTTATGGTAAATAACCCTACATTTTTACTACCTAATATAGTAAAATAAAGTAAGAAACTTTTTACTGAAAACTTTTTCGATTTCAAAAATCTAGAAAGAGTAATATTTAGAATTCAAGAAATTTTCTTACAAGATTATTGTATAAAAGACTAACTACAGTGAAAAATAAGCCAAATGTTTTTTCTTTCTATTTTATGAAGGAAAGCTTCTGGGCATACTGCAAAGTCTAACATAGCGGAAAAAAAGAAAGAAAAGAAAAAAGAAAAGAGGAAAAAAAGAGCAAAGAAGGAAAAAGGCCAGGCAGTGGCATGTGATCCACTCTCACATATCAAAAGCAACAATGTCTGTTTAGATGATAAATACTGAAATAAAGAACAAGGCCACAGATCTAGTCCCATGATGCCAGATGCAAATATAAGCAAAATGTTATATCCAATAACTTTACAGTTAATCATGTTGTAAGGGACCAATAAAATATGTTTTCCCATCAAAAAGAAAAAATATTTTTGTTCTGTGCAGTTTTCTGTTACATTTTGGAAATTTTTTGTTCAAACCAGGATCCAGCTCCGATTTCTCTTCTCCATGGTCACTGCAGTGGAAGACTGTATACATGGAAGTTTGGAAGGGACGGATACAGATTGAAAATATATCATATCATAATGGACCAGAGATTCTGCTAAAACTGCTGGCTTTTTTTTCCAGTTGATTACATTCTATTCCTTCTTGTCAGGTTTAACTATAGAATTTGTTTTTAAATGGTGACCCTTGTTCTTAGGTTTCATTGTACATTTAGATTTGTTCATGCATCTTGCCATGGTAAATTTACCATATTCACTGCCTGAAAAAATCATATCTGTACTTTACATTTGTGCTTACTTACAGTGAACACCTTAGTGTCCTACAGGTAGAAGATACTGCATGGGACAAGAATATGGTCTGATATGTTAAATTAACCCCTTCAGATTATAGTTCTGTTTCATTGTGCAGTTCAGGGATTTTTAAATTCATCAGCAAAACAAATATTCCAGAAAAATATGATGGAAAATCACTTAGGAAGCCACTATGTCACAGCACTGCTCCAGTCTTAATCTTCTCTAGGACAGTAGATGAGTCAAAGTATGGAGCTTGAGGCTACCTATGATAACTGTTCAGATTATCAGAGAACTAAAGGAGAAAAAAAAAAAAAAAAAAAAAAAGCTATACCAAGGAATATTTTCCTGTAGAAGGAAAACACTATGTATATGGCAAAAGGAGCGGAAATGACATAAAAATCCATTTCCCTTCCTTCTTTAAGACACTAATAGTATGCTGGGAATGCTAAAGGGTCACAGGTTGCCACTGTTTGTATTCTCTATATGAGAAAAGTTCTAACAAATGCTGGCATCAACTGAAATCTTTACCACTTTCAGCCCAACTTTTCCCTTTTTTATATGTAGACCTTTACAACAGTTCCTTAATAAATAAAATTTGTAGATACAATGCATTTGTCAATTCAGTTTAGGCACAAGGCAGCTTCCACGATGTGTGGAGATAGTAGGACAGTCTGATTGTGCAGGAACGACACACTGAAACAGTAAGATATGTTCACATGTGGGCTGAATACGAGCAGATTTCAACTTCTGATGCAGATGTTCCACATTTGCTTTCATCAGATTGCATGTTGGGCATCTTGATTCAAGTCCCCCCCATTTCTTCATTTTCTCCTTATCCAGTCAGATTTGTGTCGTTGATATGCTAGTTTTTGTGTCCTTGTGATGAGAACACCTTCTATATTTCCTATCCATAGTGTGGGAGTCCTGAAAGAGAACAAAAATCAGTAAAAATATTCTTACAGTGTCTACTAAAAAAAAAATAAAAAAATCTATGAGTAATTTCTTTTTTTCACAGTATAACAATTTACTTCAATTTCAAAGTAAACTGTAAAATTAAACCTGCAACCAATAAACAAGCAACAATTCAAAGAGATCACAGGATATCGGAGCTAAACCTTCAAAAATATTTAAAGCAAAGTCATGAAAGAAATATAGGGCTTGCCATTATTGGCCTTTGGAAATGCATTTCAGCGACAATTGTGCTGACTAGCTTACTTTAATACTATGTCACTGACCCAGTATGAAGACCAGAAAATGCAGAGTCTATATCTGCATTCTTGTCAAATGTCAGCTAATCAAAATGAAGGCACAGAATCAGCATTGCAATCAGGAAACTAGAATTTTCAGAACAAGAGCACTAGAAACAACATAGGCCAGATAAAAATTAACAGCCTATTGCAAAGTTATGATAGTTAAGCAGGTTCACAAAGATTTTGGAAATGCAGCAAGCGGCACAAGAAAGCTTGCAAAACAAAAAAAAAACATCTGCTAGTCAAAGCACTGATTTAGCAAATTTCAGCCCTGACTGACCACTAACAAAACAGACAAAGTATACTTTATATAAAAATAGGAAACAACAAGCTTGTTGCACAATACAGATCCCCTAGGCTTGTTTGAGCTCTGGCTTCACAAGACATCTTAATTCTAAGCCAACTAAAAGCTAGTCAACTGAGGTAAAAACCCTGTAGAGGCATAATGCCTGGGGAACCCATCCAAATCAAAATCCTGCAAAAATGCATTCCTGCGATAGGCTGGAGCACATTCTGGAAGGATTTCGAGCACCCAGCCTTCCCTGGAGGCAGTGGTGAGGCATGGTGTCATTACCCATGCCACACGAACTTGTCAAAAGTGAAGGATTATTTTTTTTTTTTCTTTTTTGTTAGCCTAAAAAAAAAAAAAAGCCTGTCAAAATGAAAATTCTCTTTGTATTTTGGTGGGTGGCTGCCAGTATAGTGACCAATCATTTTTAGCGGTTTAAAGTAAATCTGAACTGGTGTAAACATTACCTGTACTATCTTTCAAATCAAGGCATCTTTGATCAAAGGCCTTATGCAGGCCATAGACGGGTCGTTTATTGGCCAAATTTTCATCCGCACAAAAAAAAAATCGGCCGATATTCACGCCGTTAGTGGGGCAATGCCGTCGCCCGTTTTTCGTGGATCTTCTCATTTCTTTTTATCGGTCATGCTTGAAAATCTATGAAAAAAACTGTTTTTCGTGGACATTGGTGGCAGCATCAGCAACGACCGATTTTTCGTTTATCGGCCAACAATTCGGCCGATAAACAGCCCGTCTATGGCCTGCATTAGCTGTACAGGAGTCCTTGACTTTTGCTCAAATCAAGATGAAACTCTGACCCTGGTATTTAGCCTGGCTCCCTGACAATCCAATATCAAACAGCAAAGCCTCTGCTGCCCAAAGTTGATCTGGCATTTGACAGTTGAATGATATGGGGAGGACTTTAATCTAACTTGGGCAAATGCTGTTGCCCTATATACAGAATATGATCCAAGGGAGCTCTACGGAGATTGATTTTAAGACTAAGACATGTCCTTGAGGGCACAACAAAATGTCTGCACTTCAGCGCTGTTATGCAGTTTGAACAACCTTTAAAAAACGTCAGCTCACCCAGCAACTTTCCAGAGCCTATTCATGATGCAGCAGAGTCCCAGGAGAAACCATCTCCCCCCACTGTCTTTACAACTATAATATAATTATTTTATTGGAAGTTGGTTGCTATGTCTGTTAAGCTGCTATTTTACACCTGATGTGATCACACATTTAGCTGCATTTTCATAGCTAATAAAACACATGGTTTGCAAGCGGTTCTGTTCACACCAATATTTTTCACTGAGCTGCATAAAAAAAAAAAAAAAAAAAAAAAAAAAAAAAAAAAATTTACACGCACGCAAATATATTATTTTTTCTTGTTTTAAATTTTTTTTACATTTCTTCAGTTGCTTCCTGGTTTCTGACCTACGCCAAAATGATGTCATACATCCCAGAAATCAATATGGGAAAAGATAATTTTGCGTAGAACATTAAAAATAAATTAAAAAGCATTTTTCAGTTTGTGGTGTTCAGAAACAGTTTAGTTCTGCTTAGTGGTGTTCCTTAGTGTTGAAGCCAGGATGCAAAAGAGGAGCTCTACCACCTTTTAAACCACTTTTAATTTGAATGACTTTTCATTTATTTTCATTGTTCATGCTTTCCTTTTTTTTTTTTTTTTAATGTGTGAGGGAAATTTAAGTGTTCACGCTTTCCTTTTTTTTTTTTTTTTTTTCATTTAATGTGTGAGGGAAATCTAAACCAAAACCGTACATAGCGTTTACAAGCCTCATTTACTAAAGTTTAATAGGCAACTTGTCAGGAAATGTACCACTCTCCCTGGAGTATAACACTTTTACATCCAATGTTTTAAAATTCCTTGCACATTATCAGACAAGTATGTTACTTTGAAGTAGCCCCTCTGTTATTTTCACAATACCTCAAAATGGAGTTCATCCTTTTATTAGTTTGGCAGAAACCTCGTTTCTGAATGATGTCATGCAGGAAATGAGGCAAACTTGTTTCTCTATGCCACTTTGTAGGTCCCAAAGTAACCAATTCACCCATTGTGCAGATCTATTTGCTCTTACACAATTACTGTCTCTTTTATGAATTTAATAAGGTGTTCTAATGCTAAGATCATCAATTATGAAACATATGTACCAAGGACACCAGTAACTGCTAGATTTTCTCAGCAATTAGAGTTCAAACAATCCAGAACAAAAGCTGATGCATTGTACCAAAGCTGATGCATAAGTATCCACTGCATTGCCTACCTGGCTGATGGTTTACATATGACCCATAGGGTTGGTAGTATCATTAAGTCCAGGATGAGCTCCTGGATGTGTATTTGGGGGTTCTGCCGATACGGCAGAAACTTTTTCTTCTTCCCTTCTTTTAAGGCAGGCTGCTTTGGGATTGAGGTTCCTCTCTGTAATAGAGAACATATTACATATACTTTTACCAACTGTAATTTAGAAAACACAGCATATGCAATATAAACATTTCAAATTAATTAAAATTCAACAGACTCTGAAAGCATAAAACTGAAAATAACACAGAATAATATTATATTAATCTATACAAGTGTTTCTCAACCTTTTTTCAGTCAAGGCACCCTTTACAATTCTGCACAATCTTAATGCACCCCATTCTAAAATGTAAAAACTAAACTTACAGTTTTACATAACGCAGCAACATCCACACATGTAGGACACTCAATATTAGAGGTGATTTATTCTTCCAAAGCAAATACACCTTTTGTACACTGGTACCAACTAGTATTCTAATGTTTCTCTTCTGCCTCAGTTTTTCCTCCCTTACTCAGATAATGAGACCCCAGTACTGATGGAGAGGGGTAGAGTAGGGGCAAACAAGGATGCTGTGCATGCGCCAAACATCCTCCTTATCAACCAAGACATCATTGGTTGTTAGGACACCAGGGGCTAGAAGGTTGTAGTAGTGAACAATAAAAATCTGTGACTTTGCGTCACAAAAGGGCAGGCTGATCCATCCACTGCCTTGTGTGCAATTTTTGGGCAGTTTTTAGGCATTTTGCCAATGTGCACCTGAAAGCACCCTGGTTGAAAAAGGCTGACCTATATACAAATACAAAGGGAATTGTTTCTGCCATCAACTGTTCTTAAATGACTAAAGAGACAAGTGTGACACTATGAATGATGGGCAGCAAAACAACTGCACTGCCTGAAAATTACACTGCTGGTTTCCAAAGATTTTTGCAAGCATTTATACTTATATTCACAAAGTGGTGTACATGTGATTTTAATGACCTCCAAAATGCTCCATCAAGCTTAATTTTATTGCTTTTTGATGTTTACATTGTTCACGTTTTCAGTTTAATACATCTAGTGTAAAGGAGGAATGAAAAAAGGAGTTAAAGGTCTACTTACTAAAGTTTAATATAAGTTATAATTATACACACGTATACACTACATTTAAAGCAAGTAAATATGAAATATTACATATGAATATTCCAAATTTACCAATTTCAGCAAGCATGTCATTATTTCCAAGTTAAAACTGCAGCATGTGCCTTTTTTTTCTTTTACTTAAAAAGCAGAAGAGATCATATTACACAGCTTGTTGAATGACTCAGGAGGGTTGCATTCCCTCCATTACGCTTAGAGGAGCACTGTCTGGTTTAGTCAGTAAAACCAGCCATACATGGATCGAAATTTGGTGAGGCAGGCTGATTGTACAAAAGTCGATCTACCGCTAGATCGGTAAAAATGACCCAATTACCCCATCCACATCGCATATGTGGATGGGGGAACTGGGTCATATATATATATATATATATATATATATATATATATATAATATATATATATATATATATATATATATATATATATATATATACATACATATACATACATATATATACATATATATATATATACACATACATACATACATATATATATACATATATATATATATACACATACATATATATATATATATATATATACACATACATATATATACATATATATATATATATACACATACATACATACATATATATATATATATATACAGCTACATATATAATATATATATATACACTTACATACATATACATAGATACACCTATATATATATACATATATATATATATATATATATATATATATATACACACACACACACACAAAGTCAGCTTCAGCTTACTGCCAAGATACACCTTGTGACATTTTTGTTGAATATTACAAGCAGCAAAAAAAAAAAAAGAAAAAAATCACTGCAAGTCACAACCGACATTGAGCTTTGAAGAGTTTTACAAATTCTCACAAGCATTTTTATTTATTTATTTTGTAACAGCAAAGGACTAACCTCTGACTTGCTGCTCTAGATTAAGAATGACGGCTACAGCCTGATGAAGAATTAGCAGTTTTGTTTGTGGTTTTTCACTCTTAAGATGTAACTGGCACATGCGCCCAAGCTCTTTAAAAGCTTCATTTATGTCTCTAACACGCAAACGCTCTCTTGCGTTGTTTGCCATTCTCCTCTCCTTTTCTCGCTCAAGCTTCTGTTCTGGATTTAAATCCTCATCTTCATTAATACTGCTGCAATACATGAAAAATATTTATAGTTATGGGGAATTAAAATGCCTTTTCACAGTAATACACAGATTTTGAACAGCAGTTAAAATACATGACTTTAATCAGGAATCGATGGCTACCATTTCATTCTCTGTACCATCTAGCTGAGTACATAATAATAACATTCGCAAAGCAACATTACACCAGTCCAGATGGTGACTTCAGAGAATGCTAATTTAAATTTTTAATAGAATTTACAATGTATTAATTATGTTTCCTTGTAGTCAGGCAGTCTTCTTAATAACCCTACTGGGAGCCTCAGCAGCTTGTGCAAGCTTTCCTCTTCACAAACTAAGCACATCTATGGTTGTCTGCAAGTCCGCAAGGGAAACTGTTTGATTCATCTTCATCTTCCATGAAACACACTTCTCTGCCTAGAAAGTGTCAGTGTGCTTTTAAAGGAACAGGCTACAAATAGGTTCCCCTTGTTAATTAAAGACCGTTTCATAGAAACTAACTCATTTTGGTTATGTACTCATTTCTGTGTGTTATTGTAATTTAGTTAAAAAAAATGTCATTGGGACTATGTTAGTATGGTCAGTATTAGATACCTCGTCCTGCCTCTAGAAGTTTTCATGTCACTCTGTGATCCTTCGTCATCTGATTTCATGTCATCTGATGAGCCATGGTCATGAATATTCTCATCTTTTTCTTTATGCTCTGACTTTACTTCTATAAGGGAAGACAATATAGTCTGGCTTAGCAATCCACTGGACAATGCTGTAACACAAAAAAAAAGAAAAAGAAAAAGTGAGCTATTCTGTTATGCATTAGTTGGTATAGCTCCAAAGCTTACAAAAAATAAATAAAACAAAAAACAAACATACACAAGTTCACATGAAATAAAACATTATTTTAAACACCAAGATCAAGGTATCGTACTGGTCTTTATGGGAGATTAACTGTTCACATCTTGCAAGTGCCAGGAAAGAAAAAAGTGTATCAATTAAAAATAAAATATGCCACGTTATCAGTACTGGAGCAAACAATCCTATATGGGATTTCTCTACACAAATGCGCTTTGGTGCAGGATCCCTGTAATAAATCTACTAATCAGCATCAGCTCAGTCTCAAACTTGTACACAAAGCATAGACAGAAATAAGACCCACAAAAAGCATATGAACGACAGACTAAAACTAATCTCTTCAAAAAATTAAATTATAGCAGTATATACATCATTGTACTGTGGTGGCAGTTTTAGGCCAAGGGTGGATCCCATGAAGTCGCACATCTATGCAGACCTGCTGGTATTGGCAGTCTCAACCTGGGATCCCGCCAAAAAGCCCTCCAACGCATTTCACTCCACCCCTCAGCTTAATCATGGAGATCAATGCAGTTTTAGGCCTCATTCACACCAGAACTATTTGAAGGCTCACCAGAAACACTTCAATGCTCGACATTAGGATTTCTATTGTATTCAATGGTCCCCGTTCACACCTGAATGTAGTGTCACTTGAGGCTTCTTACTCAAAAAAAAAAAAAAAAAAAAAAAAAGTACGAGGTTCTTTTGAGGCACTCGTGGGTTTTGTCCCCAACAGACTTCAATGGGAGAGTCTGAAAAGGGTTGTAAGATGTGTTTCCTTGCCTAATAACTAGCTTTCAGTTGGCTAAAAATATATATTTAAAAAATATAAAAAACCTGAAATACAAACTCCCAAAAATGCTTACCTCAAGTGTGAATGGGGTCTTATATTTTGTCTCAATGTATTTTAGGGTTCATGTACAGGGGAACACTCTCTACAACACATTTTGTTGTTCTTGAGTCAGTATGCCATAAAGTGACTGCAGCCAATATGAAGCTGTAGTAATCCCTAATATAAGAACTTCTTTCATGGTATATGGGTGCTAAGACTACTTCTGTCATTTAAGGGTATAATTATGTGTAAATGTTACCTCTATAATTGTCTTGGGCTTTATGGTTTATTTCTGTGCTTGCAGCAGAGACTGTGCTGGACAGAGCTGAATGATCACTGTTTAAGCTCACTGCATCTTCTCTCTGATTTCCCAACTAAAACAGACAACAGATACAAAATATTATAAGCAGAAATCATCCCATGATTGAAGAATATGAACATAATACTTCATGCCTGCAAAAAAACCAAACCAGTATCAGAGGATATGTAACAAAAATAAACATTTTTGAGGAGTGATGTAAACAAAACATCCAGCTGTGCTTTTCAATGGCCACAATACAAAAGTCAGTATTTAACATTCCGTTGCTTCACAATGACGTTGTTCATCATTAAACACATTACAAAATCAACATGTATTCAAATCTCCACAATCTGAGTTCCCGCAGCCACTTAATGGCAATTTAGAGTCCTTATCTCTCTTTTTTTTCTGATTCAGGGTGACCTGAGATCAACAAAACTAACACACGAAGGTTGATTCTGGGTACATTTTTCAGTCTATTTCCTGTTTTGATTCTGAATATAATGTTCACAAAATATGTGCTCTGCAATGATGCTGTATACACGAATTATATTTGATTAGCGTGCTCATATTATCAGACACCACCAAATAATTTAATCATAAACATACCACCATCACACCATGCAGTAAACTGGATCTCAACCAGTGGTAATAGGCAGGTTCAGGGGGTTAAAGACAAATTTAAAATAATATTTCAGAGTTTTAGCAAATACTGTATAATATGGGATATTTCACTGGATGGCAGAGCACTGCTTGGAAAACATTCATAATAGGGTATTGGTAGTAAACATACCATAGTGTACTTTGAGAAAAGCTGACCCTCAAGAGGTACTTGGTAAGTGTACACTTACACTCACTGGCCACTTTATTAGGCACATCTTGATAGTACCGGGTTTGGACCCCCTTTTGCCTTCAGAACTGCCTTAATTCTTTGTGGCATGGATTCAACAAGGTGCTGGAAACAATCCTCAGATATAGTCCATATTGACGAGTTACTACTGTTGCCTTTCTATCATCTCGAACCAATCTGCTCATTCTCCACTGACATCAACAAGACATTTTCGTACACACAATTTCCTCTCACTGGATATTTTCTCATTTCCGGACCATTCTCTGTAAACCCTAGAGATGGCTGTGTGTGTGAAAATCCCAGTAGATCAGCAGTTTTGGAGATACATATCACAGCCTGTCTGGCACCAACAACTATGCCACGTTTAAATCCCCTTTCTTCCCCATTCTGATGCTCGGTTTGAACTTCAGCAAATTGTCTTCATCACGTCACTGTGCCTAAATGCATTGAGTTGCTGCCATGTGATTGGCTAATTAGCAATTTGTGTTACCAAGCAATTGAACAGGTGTAACAGGTGTACCTAATAAAGTGGACAGTGAGTGTATATAATAGAAGTACAAACCATCCAAAACAGTTTCACTGGAGGTACTTTAAAAGGTAGCTGATGACAATGTCAAGTATGCTATCAATACAATATTTCTAGTTAGAAGCATTAGGCTGTCATCGGGTTTGCACTGTAAAGAAAAAAGTACTTCAAAAAAGAAAAATTGATCATTATGAAACTTTATAAACAATTAGGATATCTGCTGTGGTAATCCAGACACCAGACCAATAAAGACATTTAGGGCTACAAATATATTTAGTAACTATTCCACAGCTTTAAATCCTGTCCAAAAAGAAAACACTAAATGGGGCATACATATAAAGTACATGAATCATGTTCCTTCTTATTTGTACCCTTGTTATCAAATAATGCTACTTTTAACAACTTTAAAGCCATAAATACCCTATAAATCCCTCTTGTATTGAACTGTATTGTTGCTGTATTGTCTCCCGTTATATTGTAAAGCGCTGAGCAAACTGTTGGCGCTATATAAATCTGGTATAATAATAATTAAAAAAAAAAAATCATTGGGAGGTTCAATGATGAACTCTGCAGGGCTGTTCCACATATACTGAAGTAAAATAAACTTTGCACCAACAGAAATCTTTTGCTTGTATGAATTTTGTACAGGTGAAATGTGTAAATATAATGGGTAAAATCGTGAGGCATTTTAGTGCAGCATATGCTCCTGTTACAAGTACACACTGGGGACTATTCATTATGAGGGTTGAACTATTTGAACTGTTTAGTCTAGTGACATTACTGAAGCAAAAGGTTAACAATGCCTCACGCAAAAGTAATCTCTCTTATTTATAGGAACTTTCTAGGCTTCACAATTACAAACATGGGCGATCTCACAGGATACAGAATATCTGCCTACTGTCAGACAGACCACAGAACTCTGAGTACTGCTGAAAAGACTAATGCTCAGGACTGGACTCACTGCTTCATATGCTTGTTGCTAGAGATGGCTTTTTCAGTCACACAATGTAAGAAACAGCGACTAAAGCCGGCCATACATGGATCGAAATTCTACCACTTCGGCAGGGACTGGCCAAATTTCGATTTATGTATGGGCTAGCTGCTTGCACTCTATGGATCAACTTGTGTACAACCAGCCCGTGAGGTTTTTCCCAAATGATCAATGTTGCCGGCTGTAGAACCCCCTTTTTGACTGCTAGCACATTTTAAATCTTAATTATTGTATACAATCTTTACATTACAAACACTAAGCCCCCGTTCACATCAATGCATCCCCAAAGTTGTGCGACTTTGAGGTCCAACTATGCTGTGAGACTTCATTGTGACTTTCTGCCCACTCAGTGCAACTTCAATAATAGATGCAATGAAGGTCACAATGAAGTCGCACAAAAATAGTGCAGGAACCTTATAAAGTTTGTGTAAAAGGATAAGTTCAACTTTCAGTAAAAAATAAATGCATTTTTTTGTTGCAGGTAAAAAAAATGTGCATTTATTCAGTTTGTCTGCAGGAGCCTGTAAAGCACTGCAACAACGATCAGCAGATCGTTGGTGCCATGCAGGTCTCCTGCAGATCTGTAAGTTTATCTACTTGCTCGTACATCCCATACAGGCAAGCAGATATACAGACAGGAAGAATCAATGAACTACCAGGGAGCTCCACAGCGCTGTGGTAGTTCATTGAGGACCAAAAGCTGACAGCTGCTAGGGATGCCAGGACTTGTAGTCTCTTATTCACAGAGTAATGTGAATGAGTGATGCACCCGGAGCCCTGCACAGCCGTGCTTTTTTTTTTTTTTTTTTTTTTAATTTGACAGGTAGCAAGGGGGAAGAAGATCCCCTGACAGCTGTCAAAGCGGGGAACAGTCTGATCGTAACATGTTACATCCTTAATATGGGTGTAACATGTAGCATATTACGAAAAGTGAACTTATCCATTAAAAAGCAATTACAAAGCTCAACACTGCCTGCTCTCTTTTAAGATTGCCTAAAAATCTATACTACTATGTATGAGTTACGAGGAAGGTGATATCTCCCTTTCCTGACGCATTTAATTGTCTGTGTAAGGGATTATAATTCACAGACTATTCACAGCATAGTTGCAAATCATTTCGGAAAACTTGAGACTGACATTCTCTAGCATGCCTTGGGTCTGCTGCAAATAGTATAAACTTTTAATATTCCATACCTTCCCTGACTATAAAAATCTAAATTATATAAAACCTCAATTTGTTAGTCTTAAACATATTAAACATAAAAAACTTTATACATTTCTTTTAATACTAGATTTGTATTCTACTCCCTCCATGCCCGTTTGAATTTAAACTGGTAACGCTAGCTGTAAAATTTTATTGTTTACATGCAATTGCACACAAAAAGAGAAAGTGTGTCACCAGTAAATGAAAGATGGTTTATAAAAAGAATTGCAAACTGAGTTGTTTTTTTTTTTTAAACACTTTAAAACCGTTGACCTTTCTAAGGGGTTCATTTTTATTTACATTGTTAACCATCTTCTCATTACGTCATCTCACCCTGGAGCATGCAATTCAAGCTTAATCAAATTAGCACCAACTTCCTTTCAGCCCATCTGTAATCGGATTCCATTTGCAAATGTTTCTTGCATGTTTCCTCAAGAATGTAACTTTCACAGTCAGTGTTGTCCTTTTTAACTTGTGCTGAGCCTCAGCTTTGTTCTACTCTTTCAACGCCTCTAGTGTCAATCTCACTTGCAAAAGCTTGCCTAGGCACACAATACCCAAAGGGTTAAAGCCATTAAGATGGCAATGTCCACACACAACAGGTGTACAAACAGTTCTTTGTCTCCACAGAGTGGCCTTCTCAGCATGGACTGATAGGATGGAGTTTTAATTGTACAGCTCATTAGCATACAGCTGACAGTCTGCTGTTTGAGTCCAGGACTGCTGCTCAAGCCAAACTTGTCTACATTTCAATAATTACAGAGACTTCAAACCTCACCCCCCCTTCTTCCCCCCTCCGATACAAACCAGGCTATAGCAAATGGACTATACTGGTCTTTACTCCGAGACAAGGCTTTTTTTTTTTTCCCCTAAAGAAGCTAACAGCAGAAACAGCCTAAATGTAAAGCGTGAACTTGTCTAATGAGCTCCTTCACATGAGACAGGGAGCAAATGACAAGTGTTCATTCTAAAGGATTCTTTTCCTGACAGATCTCAATCAGGGGAAATGCATGGGGTGTAAACAATTCCAGCAGGTACAGCACACAACATGGTTATTAACCACTTGCCCTCCTGAGGATTTACCCCCCTTCCTGACCAGGCCATTTTTTTTTAATTACGGCGCTGCGTTACTTTAACAATTGTGCAGTCATGCAACACTTCACCCAGATGAAATTTATGTCCCCCCCCCCCACAAATAGAGCTTACTTTTAGTGGTATTTCATTGCCTGTTTTTTTTTATTTTTTTGCGCTATAAACAAAAAATACTGCTAACTTTGAGAAAAAAAAATAATATTTTTGACTTTTTGCTATTAAACCTGTCCAGTAAAAAAATCAAATTTTCGTCATAAATTTAGGCCAAAATGTATTCTGTGACATGTCTTTGCTAAGAAAAAAAATCCCAATACGTGTAAATTAATTGGTTTACGTGAAAGTTATAGCGTTTACAAATGGCGCTATAGATATTGGGATTTTTTAAAATTATTATTTTTACTAGTAATTCAGCG